AAGGATGTTGGCCCATTCTTCTTTGTATTTCTGTATTCTGAACTTCAGAATGAGCAAGAAGTACTCTCGTGGATCTTTGGGAAATGTGTGGTCAGCGGTGAGCTTGCCTATGCTAAGCGGGTCCAAGTCGCAGTCAGAGTCATCAGATGGATCTCCCTTAACGTAGTGTAGTAGCATATCCTCATTGTTGCCATCATTTTCGTCATCTTCATAATAGTAAGTATCATTAAGACACCAGGCTGTCCAGAAGTCCACATTCCATCCGGTTATAACCATTGAGGTATGACATTCATGGAGAACATCAACTGTCGCATCGTTCTCCAGTCGAGTGTGGGACCTTGAGAGGAAAGAGAGGTCAAGAGATTTTCGGATTGGCTTGCCTTTAGAAGACATCCGATTGTCTCCCTTAGCAGTCGCGCTTCGTTTTAGCACAAAGAAAGGAATGTGGGATTCGAACGTGAAGGTTATTCCGCCAAGCTGTTAATGGTCATCAGTTATGGACGATTGTCAAATGCTTTGCACTTTGAGTAAGAGTTGACCTACACCGAACTCAATAGACAGAGAAGTTTCCGCTTTGAGATGCTTATAAATCATATCTCTGATCATAGGACTCTGTTGCTGTGAAGAGCTCAAAGCTAACACTCCCAAGGTTGACGGATACGGATTGGGCAAATATCTAGATGCTATTAGCCATCACTAAGAAAGTTTTCTCATACAGACAACGGTAACTCACAGGCGTCTGATATCGGCATCAGAAAATTCTGGGTCTGACAAACGCTATTTGAGATTATTGTTGGCTTACAATTAATCATTAAGAGGGCGAGATTATAATCCAGGAATGCTACGTACCTTTCGCTTCAGCACCTGATCGAGCTTCTCTGTCGGTATAGGGCCATTGTACGAGCGAGTTTCTCCTGTCGTACTACTCCTGTCGTGAATCCACACCGTCAAGCCTTTTGTGTCTTCGTAAATGCCATCACTAATTTTCTCAAGTTTGTCTGAATCGAATATCTGTTTGAAGACCGAAAGCTCGTAGTTGGACCTTGAAGAATGATCTGGAATGTCTAGGAAAGCTTCAAGCAGACTCTGGTTCTCTGTACTTCCTTTGGTAACTCCATTAACAAATGGTCCGTTCTCCCAGTCCTTTGGGGGACCTGGGCGATCCCAGACGAAGGCAGAAGTCTGATCTGCCCACGTTGTTGCTTGTAGCATGGCGCGTGCATGACAACGTGTAGTTCGAAGATATCATTTCTGACCGGAGTGAGGCTTAATCTATCTGAGTGAAAATGGGACGCATCTTTTCATATATGATAGTAGTAAAGGCAGACTCCTAAGCGGCACCTCAAGCATCGTGAAGTAATTACCAAAGACGTTGGGCCTGCCTCCGGGACACCTGCTGCCCAACTTCTACTACACCGGCCAAACAGGATTCCAGTAGTTCGACTGACCGAATGCAGCTTGTTTATAGGGCTGCACTTCGAGTGCCAATTTCGGGAACGGCAAGTAATATTGGTCTCAAAAAAGCTATGGACTGCCACACTTGTTTTGTTTTATCTCGATTACCATCTACGAATCGCCCTCCGTTATCCCCGAAAAGCATCCTCTGAGGTCTATAAATTCTCAAGGTTAGTAACACCCAAAATGTTCAATCAGCCGGCGATGACATGTCAGTCGGTCCCAAGTTAGCGGGATGTGTAAATGTTCTACGAGACGTTTGGGTTTCCGCACCCTCATGGATAGATGCGGTGACGTTCTGTTTCCTGAGCCACTCATTGGAACCGGGGCTGATGTGCCAGGTGAGGAGTCACGCGCCGGATGACAAGCTGTCCTTCGGATACCATGTGAGGCAGCCGCAGGCGACCGAGCTAGCCGCACTCTCGACAAGTCAGCGACAGCCACGCAAGCATAACCTATTTACTACAACTTTTTCAATCAAATAACTGCTATGTTCTATTACATGAATCTTAGTCGTCAGGCCGTATCCGGAGTATTCATGCCCAAAGATCACAACCTTCATGTTCCTCCGATGATCCGTGATTAGCTCCCGACACAGAAGTAAGTTAGGTCACCTTCACACAGAGCCCTATCTCAGCAGATGGGGAGATGGTCATTCATGAAAGTTCATTCATCAGGCTCGGCCCGACTTCTCATGGTGTTCAAACCATCAAGTCCCAACAGATGCTTATCAGTGGATGCAACATATGCCTGGTTTGCGTCAGGTGAGGTGGCAGTGTTCAAGGCGGTCTGCATGCTGCAGTTGGGATTATGAAAAGCCTATCAGAACGGCGCAATAAATTGTCGGTCAAGATAAACCAATAAAAATGGTTCTGTTGGGCAGCATCGGTGAACAGGGTTCTACAGGAAGCAGGATGACGTTACGATTTGAGTTAGCGTGCAATGATCGGATCTTGAAGTCTGGACTCTCACTAGAATCTTTGGAGACAAGAAACAAAGTACACGGAAGCATATCGGATCCCAGTGAGTAGCCGAATCCTCGGTCAAGTGGGCCGGATCCTTCTCCGTCGGTCTATATGGCTACCGTATTCTCAATTTGCGAATTAGTTCGTCCTGGACACTCGATGTAATGAACAGCGTATTCGAAGACAAATTATACGATGAATCTTTGCTGCAATTACAAAAACTTTTGATCTCCGGTGAAAATCTAGCGCATAATCACTTGCGATGTTGTGATTGCCCCCCCCCCCCCAGTGGCCGATTTGCTCTCGAGCGCTTCAGCGCCTTGGAAGCCAGACAAGCTTGTTTCATTTTGTTGCTACTTCCGCCCTTATACTTGATAAGAAGAAAAAAATCCAGGCTCCATGTTGAACAGCTGGTTGGGAGCGTTGAGGTTATGTTGTGTGAATGTAAATGATGGCTTGCCACTGGAAACCTTAGGGTTGTGATGTTGGTCAGCTTCGTCAGTGAGCTAAATGGATGCTTCACGATGTTCTCACTCACCTGAAGTCCTTCATTTCTTCACAAGTGAGTCATTTCCAGTGTTATATCCCGATGTTGCCCAGTTTGCTGGTTCGATGCGAATGCCTATCTGCGGTTTCGACGCGCTAAACACGCACTTTTGAGACGGGACAGTAGGCGCAGCGAGGGTATCCGCAACTGCGACAAGCTTCAGATCGAATCGAAATGCCTCCTTGGCCGCAGTTACACTATTCAAAAATTTTAGTACGAGAAGCTGCTATGATTGTGGACAGTCACTTACGCATTGCCAAATATACGCCTGCTTCCGCTTTGGCCCTCGTTCTTTGTAGTAGCCGCAGTGTATGTCGGAAACTAGATGATCGTCATCCAAACCCTCATCTTCTGAAACCCAATTTGTGCCTATACGTCCTGAGCCAAGCGCACTAGCGTTAGAAGGCTGCCAATTACTCTGGTGGCATAAGTGATGGCCAGTATCTCTGTTACTAAGAGAGGAGCCAGGTGTAGTTGCATGCTCTTTACAACTTTAGCATATGCATAAGATACTGAGGCAACAAAAGTTTGCCGTACTTCTCTGAGCGCATTCCGACTGTGCCCCATCTCCAGGGGCTTCTGGGTTGTCCTGAGGAGAAGCACAAAGACGTTGATAATCACCCATGGGTAGATTGACTAGCCTATTCGGCCTAACGCTCCAGTTTTCTGATATATCGAGGGGCTTTGTGGGATTGTGAGCTCTCAATATCGGTGAGTCTGGCTTCAAGATGGTGAAGTCATACGTACACGACACCGGAGTTCTGAGTACATCTCTAGATGCGGGGTCGAACCATTCAAGCCCTGATGTCCAAGGGAGCTCTCCATTGATACCGAGAGACATTACCAAAATTGCTTTTGAAATACTCAGAGCATAGTCCACGGACCAGGTCGGGAGTTTTGAACGGTTTAGCCAATTTCTGTGTGTGGCACTCGCAGTGTGCGGTCAAAAAGTGATGTCGCCCTCGAACACACTGAGATCATAAATAGAAGAACTGGTTACATTAGTAAGCATCGTCTAGAGGTGTTACACCGCTGCATGCACATACATTCATTTAAAACCAACAAACATAAAACTTATCTTATATTTAAGACAGTGAGAATTACGATTTGTGGCTAAACGCTCTAAGCCAATGATAGTTCGTTGAACTGATTCGAGAATCCCAACGAATGGCATGGCCTCATATGAACCGACCTAGATGTAACGTCAATGTTGTCCAATCACCCCCTTAGGACATCACTAGCGCCTTCATGGTGTTCTGCAACGGGTTTCTGCATCAGGTGATGGTCAATAAAGTTTTTCGTTTGATGTGAGATGTGACCATCTCATAGTTCATGCAAGATCAAGCTATGTCCTATGATGTGAGGAACGAGATATTTGGATCCGCTACAAAAGTGGTATCACCTAGGACCAGCGAGAATTTTGCCTATCTAAAAAGCTGCCCCGAATATTATGGTGGATCATTGTTGTCCTTTTACTAGCTATATCAGGTTTTACGCACGTGTTGCTCCTGGTATATATCTCAAGGGCCCAACGGCTAAGTACCGACTGCGTTTGTTTGTTTGTTTGTTTTGCTGATGGCGGCCCGAAGCATGATGAGACTAATGTATGAGCCCGAATTATCGGGCTACCTTCGTCCATCCTAGGCCAATTGAACTTTGCCACGGCCTGGCGAAGACGTGTCCGCGGCTAGCCCAATGCAGAGATCCTACACGATGGAGGCACGAAGCAAGCTGTCGGTAGACGTAACCCCTTCTACAGTAACCTTGCGTAGCGAATATATTGGATATCCTGTTAGCCTTCAATAACGACGAAACAAGTGAGAACGACAGATTGCCAGCTTTTTTTGTCCCTAGTGAGTATCGAAATAGAATTCAAGTTAGGGTTCGAATGATTCGTAATCATTCGTAATCGATAGTCAACGTACTGATCCTTACAACAACATAATCGAAGAGAATATTGATGTTCTTGATACTCGAATTATATAGGCTGATACCACCTTCTTTGTAATTCACGTTGTCGAGGAGCAAATAAATTATTTCGCCTTTCTAACAACCCAGAACTGTGCCGAGTATGCGTTTTTGGTGAGAGCTTTCTCGTTGAATCCATACACAGCCTCTTTGCCTCGAACCTTCTCTCCCTGCAGGGTCACATCACCACATTTCTCGCTGATATCCATGTACTCAAACCCCATGCTTTTCGTGACAGCGACGATTTCGTCTAGAGAGAGCTGAACAAAGGGCCCCGTTCCCCACAGAAGAGGGCCAAAGTTGATCCAGTATCCTCCCGGCTTGAGCAAAGCGTGGATAGTGTCAAAATAGCTCATGATGTTGCGAGCAGTGTCAATGAAGAAGTGAGTGATAAGAACATCATGCTGTCCTTTCTCCGCTTTGAAAGCCGAAGTGAAATCGCCCTCAACCAAGAGTACTGCGCTAGCATTGACCCTCTTGTCAGGAAATGAGACGCCACGAAACATGTCGGCTGTAGTGGCATGGTGTGACCAACTATCGATGAACGGGTGAAGGGCTTTGCTTCCCGGTTGAGGGTGCGCCTCGAGAAACCGGTATACAAGGTTCATGAACATGGACCACTCGTTCACGGTTACCTCAAATCCGCCGAGAGCCGCAACCTCGTGACCAAGCCGTCCTACCCCCGAGCCTGGGAAGAGCACCTTGATTTCTTGGGAGGACCGGTCTGGGAATAGAGTCTGCAGCGTATCAATGATACACGGGAATGCATCCTCGCGCTCACCGATGCCTGCAGTCGACCAGTCTCTTACGAAGTGCTTCAGCGCTTGGGATGTACTAACACGGTCAGCTGGCTGGCCTGCATCATCCTTGGCTTTGCTGTGGTCCGCCAGCTCTTTCTGCGTGATGCCGTAGAACTCGAGTGCTGTTTCAACAATCTCGTTACACAGTTCCTGGTTGAGATCAAGGAGCTGCTCCATAGTCTCGAACTTCTGGGAGTACCCAATGGTCTTCTCAAGAACCTAGTTGACGGCTTAGTTCGGCGTTCTCCGAAAGAACATCAAATGAGGGGTTCTCGAGATTGACTTACTGCTTTCTGAGCCTTGGACACATGCTTGTACAAACCCCTCCACCGGTTAAGCTCAGCCATCTGACGTGGCTTGTAACGACTGAAGCCAAAGAGGGCTTCCAACAGTCGGTGGCGTGGATGATTCGTATCCCATTTTCCGTGAGACTTGCTCATGCGCTTCAAAAGGTTCTTCTTCTCTTGATCATGGCGAGGACTCGGTTTCTCCTGCATGTTTTCAACAGTTACCGTCACCTCATGTAACTCGACAAACGAGTCTAAGGGCATCTAGACCACTGATTAGCTAGCTTTTCCAGAATGACGGATAGCGACATTGATGAAGCGGATCATTGGTGGGTCATCACGGTTATTGTTGTCTCTGACGCTCGGGTGCACGTACTGACGCCAGGACTTTCTTCTTCCCAAGTAAATCCTTAACTGCAACCTTTTTATCCGCACCTTCGTTGCCAACATCTGTTTCGCTTCCTGTTGATAGAGCACCACATGCAAGGCTCACGAAAAGCCATATGGCTGAGTGATACAACCTCATTACAATTCGTTGACTCGATGACCGAGTGGAGACGTTGAAGAATATTGAGCAGCGATCGGAAGATGGTGAGTGGGAATGCAAGTCGTCTACTCTCAAACCCCCGGCTATGTGACTCTTGATATCAAACTGTAAAGACTGGAGTTGCAAGATTGTAGGTTGTAGATTGTCAGCGAGGTAAGGGTGCAAGATGAGCTGACCATGGAAAAAATTGAGAGACTTGAGCACATTAAACGCTGAGTACCTTGATGGCTGCCAAGACTCCAAAATGTGGAAAAGCCAACAAACAATTTTTTGTCACACTAACACGAGGAGCCTAGGTAGTCGCCAGTTGAAGACCAAGGCGAATCTGAACAAGGCCTTGAGCCAATCATGACCCACATATGAATGTCACGGTCGCGGCGCATGAGTTCAACAGTTCATCGTTTGGTTAGCTGTCGAAAGATACTATCAACGCGAAGAATATATTTGCACCAACGAACAGCCGATTAACTTATGAAGTGTAGCTTCCTACTCGCCCGAAACATTTAACTAAGTTCCAGCGAACTCATACAAACAAATAAACCTTTTATCGCAATAGCTCTTGTGCGCTGCTGGAGGCACACGATAGCAGGGGTTGACCGTCAATATATTGTTGCTGATAATGTTCTAAGTCCTAGATATCTGACAGATCTGGCCCTTATATAGGCCGGATCCTGCTGACTAATGTACAGGTGGCATTACTGCTTGGATACGTACAAATGCGTGCGAATCTCTATTCCAACACCTTTACTATTTCCAGCCTCATCAGAATCATCATGCACCATTAGTCACATTCGTCAACTTTCCATTCGCGGTAACTGCGTCTTCCCGTAAGTACTCATTCAACCGGTCACGAGTCTTGCAGTTCTCCAGGGCGAAACTCGCCGCCAGCTCCTCGAGCTCCTTTTCAGTTTTACCGCGGAACAGCTCCGCAAACTCCCACCCGGCATACTCGCTCATCAGACACTCCCGGACGACGCGCTCGACCTGCCTATCGAACGTCCAGACCTTGGGATACTTCTTCTTGTGCAGATGCTCCGGGATCATCTCCTTAAGCTTCGCAATGAAGGGCGCGTACACCTCGCTGTCAACACCGCTCTTATCGGCGCAACCCCAGAAATCGAGGCCGTTGCGCTGTTTCTTCTCCACGAATGGCTGGATCAGGCGCATGTAGGGGCTCTCTGGATCGACATAGACCATGCCCTGGTATCCGATGTCCTTGTACAACCAGATGCTCCACGAGATGCCGCCAAGCTCGCGGTAGATAGCGAGCTGTTCTTTAAGCAGGGCGAACCGCTTCTCGTTGGTCACAGCCGCATCTTGGTCCGTCTTCGGGTTCTGGTAGACGGGGCCCCACTCGCCGTTCCAGATGGGCACGCCGGCCTTCTGCATAAACTCCACCTTGCGCATGAGACTTTGTCGGAGCTTGTGCTTCTGCTCATCAGTGCCTTCGTACTGCTCTGGGAGAGGGAAGCCCATCATGCTGTAGTCGTGGCAGCTGTAGACGCTGTTAGGCAGGGTCTTTTCTGGTGAGAACGCAGAGAAGTCCATGGCGTAGGTGTTGCCATCGAGGAAGAGGATGTGGTCTGGGTCAATAGCGCGGATAGACTTCTCGGCTCGCTCGTACCAGGCGATGAGGCGGGTGTGCTCAGGGTCGGCAGGCTCGTTGAGGGGGTTATATCCTGCGATGACCTTATTGCCGACATAGTGACGAGCGAGGGCCTCCCACAGTTGAATTGCGCGATCTTGGAAATCCTTGAACTCCCAGAATAGGGCCCTGCTGATGCCCGAGTCACTGTGCCAGTCTTGGTTCTGTCCGCCTTGCACGGCGTGCAGATCAAGAATGACGTAGATGTTGTATTTGGCGCAGATGTTGACGATGCGGTCGAGTAGCTCGAACCCCGACTTCTTAATCAAGCTCGGATTATCGTCGTCCATGAAATGACGGTAGTTGAAGGGTATTCTCAAGCAGTTGAGGCCTAGTGATGCGTACAATGCGGCGTCGGCCTCTGTGAAGAAGTGATAGAGGAGACGAGAAAAGAAGAAGTCGGCCTTTTCCTTGCCGAGGACCTCCGTAAGAGCTGCGCGGTGTTCATGCTCGTGGCCAGCGTAGCCAGTAATGAAGTTTTCCATATTTAGCATGCCGCCGATGCCAGCGCCCTTGAGGAGTACTTCTGTGCCATTTTCGTCAACAATCTTTGTGCCACTGACGCGCAGCAGCGTGAGAGGTGGGTTAGACGGTTGTGTTGACATGATTGGAGGGGTGCACTGATGTGAGGTTCGGGCTTAAGATGTCAACCTTGCTAGATAGCCAGTTCCCTTGAAGACAAAGCTTTATACCCATCAGCATCGTGGCAATGCCAAGATGTTGGACCGACTTATCAAATCAGATACAGTGACTATGCACTCCTAGGAAATCGTTCTGCTGTCATCATGCATCGCTAGGGAAATGGCCGTGTCGCGTTGCCCCTCACGGTCTTACGAGCGACATTCCGCGAAGGTGGGTCCTTTTTCAAGGCGGAATTTACTGCTTGTGTCACCCGATTCTGGGGTGCAGCGATGTGCGTGACGAAACGCTATTGTTTGGCCGATGGAGTCCGGGAACTGTCTTAAACCGGAACGCTTCTCTGATTTCACTCGCCTGTCCAATCGGGTCAGGTAATTTCCTAGCACATCACATTGAACCCCAGCTTTGGTCTACAGGTATTTTGCCGAGTGTCGATCGGGTTGCATTCAGGCTGAATACATCAGTCAGGTAGTGTAAAGGTTTACTATTACGGCCCATGTGCTTAGGTCTCTTGGGTTTGCCTAAGCTCTCATGCGACACGTTGCAGGTGATGGTGCTGAGAACATCGCGCATGCCTTCTCCAATAAGCGCCGCGTTCTCTCCATGACCCTCGTCTCACACTCCCAGAAAGCAAGGAGATCAATCACCTCCTCAACGGCTCCGTACCATCCTGGAGGTAGAGACAACTTGGTTGCACCTTCGTCTTCCATCATACTCGCCTGCGAGAGAAGCGCTGATGCTACTAATACCATAGCGCTCCTTGAGCAAGACCGCATCATTGGCAGGGTCCCGTGGTGGCGATGTCTGTACCCCAATCGGTTGATGACGAGTCGGTAAAGGTGGTTGTCAAGACCCTTCTGAGCAAGCTCTATCGTGCTAGACGAGATCGTCTCCCGAGGAAATTCATGGTTCGCCCCAAGGCCATCGAGTACAGCGGTTGTGAACGGCCAGTAGATTAGCTCATAAAGATTCATGGCATGACCTCGAAGCACGAATCTGCACACGTCGTCCTCCTCCGCCGGCTCAGCAAAGGACAGATTCGGCGGAAGCGATGCTATCCACTCGTGGGCCTGCTCTTCGTATTGCGGGACTAATGCGGCCATCGCCACGAGGTAAGATTGACGCGTGGGATGTTCTTTCTGCAGGCCTATCATTTCGGCGCTTATCCGAGATGCAAGTCGGCGAAGGGATATTTCGGCAAGGTAGAAGTACCAAGAGATCCTTTCGCGAGCCAGACGTGGATCCGTCGCTGCTTCAACCTCCGCCCGTGGCGCTGGAGGCGTCGGAAAGAATGGCGGGTAGAATGCAAGTTCTTGATCGCTGAGAGAGAAATCGGGCAGGTAAAGGTCGCCTCTCATCTCTCGCTCAGACTTCCATGACGACCGGTAGATAGTTTGTTGGAGTGTATCAATCGAGTAGTTCTGTGGGTCGTTGCCGGATTCCACGTTGCTATGGTAGCGTTGTTGAGCTTCTGGTGTAAGAAAAGAGAATTGCTGGCAGCTGGCCAACGCCTGCACGAAGTGTCTCCACGCCTTGACTGGCTGGAAGATGCACATCATGTAAACGCCTGACAAGAAGAGACATTGAGCTGCAATGATGTCGTCCGATGACAGCAAGCTTCCCAGCCGCTTCTGGGCTGCTCTGAAGTAATCATGGGCATTTGCGTGGGCTACAGACCCAGGCATTGTCTCATGACTCGGACCGAAGGGCGTAGCTAATGACCCCAATGCGCAGATCAGAAGTGATAAGCAGGACTCCGCAGACCAGTCGATGCCGTTCAATACTGTGCGCGAGACCATTTTCCGAGTGGCATTTTCGTCAAGGATTGGGTTCTTGACATGGACGTAGCTGAAAAAGCTGTCTAGCAAGTCGTTGATGAGCCGCATTTCCAAGTCTAGAGCACCGAGGTTGGACAGCGGAGAATTTCCAGTAATCGAAGCATGTTCAACATGCAATGACATGTCTCTGGTTTCCGTATCATTGTCGACCTCTCGAAAGATGGTCCAAGACATGAGATGTTCCGGCCTAGGTGGAATGATCATGCTAAGTTGGATAAGAAGTCCCATTGGTGGTGCTTCCACCCAATGCTTACCCGGAGCCTCAACCACTCTCGTTTTGTGGTTCGGCGTCCCATCTACCGACACTGATCTCATCAACTCTTCCAGGTCATCGAGTCGTTCCAAGATCTTGAGACTGGCCGGATCAAAGCTTGAAAGGTCGACCGGAGACTGAATGCAGGTGGCCCCAACTTTGAGGCAAAAGGAGCATGATGGCTTGAGATTGTCGCATTTAGTCCTCCGCGCCCGACATACTTGGCAAGCTTTGACGGCTCTCTTCCGCTGATAGAATGCCGTTCCACGTGCTGCTGGGCGAGTATTGGTCTTAGTCGTAGACTGCTCCGGCTGACTCCGGTCTGGGTCCGGTTCCCCAGGGGGTAAAGACACGTGGTTATCCGGGGTAGATGGGTCTGCCATCAGGGAACAAACGGAGAATCGGGTTCCAAATGGAACGACTCCGAGGGGAGAAATAAACTAGTGCTGAAGGGTAGTTTGTAGGTTGCGTCGAGATCAGTGATTGTGATGAAAGCTGGAGAAAAGATGGGGAAGTATGTCGCGGAGTATCGCTTTTAATGGTTTTTCGCATATTGACCAACGTATGTTGACACTTACCCAAAATGGATTGCGGGGAAAGTCTGGGGCTCCACACGGCCACGCCGTTCCACAGGCTCGGAATTTCTTCGTGATGGTCTCGGTCAAACGCGGAGGTGGACTGACCTGTAGACTGGTACGAGAGCCCTGGCCAAGCCAAGCCAGATTAGGACTGGTCCTTCTAAGTTTGTGGCTTAACGAGCCGCGGAATGTCGCTTTCGTTTCGTCTTTACACTACCCTCCTTGGATAGGAGTTCAAAAGAAGTTGTCGAATGACCTCAACACAAGTTACCTGGACTTTGGAACCATCACGGATTGGCAGGAACCAGTAAATTTGCTAACCAAGTAAGGGAGAACTGGAGGTGAATATAACTTCTTAGGGTTCCCCGGATTCTTTGGCATCCTACCTTCCCCACCGCTCTCTCAACTTCTATCAACTCCCAGCTTTGATACCAAGTACCCCTTGAAGACTTGTCAACATACGTTGCAGGTTGTATCAATTTCCAATCGCCATGGCGGATAAGGAAAATGTTTCCGACCACTTGGAAGCAAGTGTGTCGCACCATGACACAAAAGGGGCAGCAATCGCAATAACAAATCAACAAGAGCACAACCTTACAGTACGCGAGGTCTTCGGAAACCATAAGGCTATTATCTGGTGGTGTTTCTACTGGGCAATGGCCGCCATCGGATGGTAATTATCTCTCCTTCTCTACGATCTGTGTTGCAGCTGTGATAGATTAACCATGTTTCGTTCAGGGGCTTTGACGCTCAAATCAACGGCGCCATGATTTCCGTGGCATCCTTCCGACGAGACTTTGGGTACAGTACCAAATAGGCCGACTATATTGGCAAAGCTCTAGTCAAACACAACTACGTTCAAATAGCTAACCGAGCCTCGTGCACAGATACGTTCTCGACGGCGAAGCGATTCTACCTGCGGATTGGCAGTCAGCCTTCAACATCATTGGCACAGTCGGTCAGTTCTTCGGAGGCTTTGCCTGCAGTTGGCTCGCAGACAATATCGGCCGCAAGAGATCCCTCATGATTGGAGTCGCCATCTGCGCCGGCGGCTGTGTTGGCGAGATCCTTTCAAATACCCGAGTCGCCTTTCTCTTTTCAAAGCTGATCCTCGGACTCGGCCTTGGGTTCTACCTCACTCTCGCACCCCTGGCATGCAGTGAGCTTGCTCCCGTCGCCCTCCGAGGCTACGCAACAGCCGGCGTCAACTTGGGCATCGCCATCGGTCAACTCTTGTCCAACGCAGTGGTCAAGGCCTTCGGAGAACGATCCGACCGCTGGGCCTACCGCGGACCCTTCGCTACCCAGCTCTTCTTCGTCCTGTTCCTCGCCGCCTTCTTGCCCTTTACTCCCGAGACACCTTGGTACCTCGCACGCAAGGACAAGCTCGAAGATGCAACCAAGTCACTCCGCAAGCTGTATGGTCCGGCCTACGATGTCAGCTCCAGGCTGTCGGGAATTTTGGCAACGATTGAGGAGGAGAACACACATCAGACTCACGAGCTTGGTTTCATCGACTGCTTCAGAGGTACCAACTTGCTACGCACTGGAATTTCAACTGGCGTCTTTCTTTGCCAGCACCTGGTCGGCATTGTCTTCGTCCTCGGGTATTCGACATACTTCTTTCAGCTGGCCGGCTTGGACGTCTCCAAGTCTTTCGATCTTGGCGTAGGCGTCACTGCTTGTGGTGTTTTTGGAAACATGGTCAGCTGGTTCGTTGTTGAGTCGTTCGGTCGGCGGAAGATTTTTCTCTCTGGCATGGCTTCCCTGACTGCCCTTCTGCTTCTCATTGGCATCATGGATGTCGTGCCGACTGACGCCGCCAAGTGGGTACAGGCCGCTTGCACTGTCATCTACGCATTTGTGTATTTTCTCACAATCGGTGCCATGGCTTTTGCCATTCTTGGAGAAGCTTCCAGCACGGCACTGCGTGCAAAGACTATGGCTCTGGCCACCGCGACCCAGGCTGTATGCGGTCTAGCCATGAATTTTGCGATCCCTTACATGGTCAACCCTGACGAAGGGAACTTGAAGGGCAAAGTCGGCTTCATCTTCGGCGGTTTGGCCTTCATTGGCACCATTGGAAGCTTCTTCTATGTACCGGAACTCAAGGGAAAGACCTTCGACGAGATTGACCGTCTTTTTGCGGCAAAGGTGCCACCTAGGCGGATGGGAGACATGTAGTTAGACCCATGCGAACTATGAACTTCATGTACTTACCTAACAGGCTCATGACTAGAGGCTTTAATGAATTTGTTGATCAAATAAATCAAGTCGTGTGTTCATTGAATACATCACACACTCTTCGGTAGACGATACACAGCACACATCGCGGAAACCAGACGATGGGAGATACATGCATGCACTCGCTTGATACCCAGCAGTCTGGATTTTGTATGTGAAACTTTTTAGGTCAGTTTGAAGAGGCGCGGACAGCAAGAAATTTGCATACTTCCCATCGCAGCTGGTGGTTTCTATTCTCATGAGCCCATCATTCGAGCGTATCCACTTGTGCTTTCAATACCGTGCGACCTTCGGCCACCTAGCTGGCCCCCGCAGAGGGATTATTTAATAGGTATAATGGCATCTCAATGCCTCTGCCAAGGAACATGGTGTCGATTGATCTATACTGACTAGTAATAATACTCAAGACAAGACATCACCCTCGTTAAAACCCTTTGGCTATCTCAACTTTCTTCATGAGATTATCAGCATCCTTCTCACTGATTGCAAGCTCTTTGTGAACCAACGCCTCAACCCACTCCCCTCTGGGTGTGAAAAGCGCCTCATAGGGCTCAGGGGCGACGATTATGCCCAAAGAAGGCATGGCCATCGGATCAATCACCTTCTTCTTCAAGGTGACCGGGTCAGTCGGCGCCTGCATATTAAAGGCCCAGAGCAGCCGCGCAAACATGATCCACAGACCCTCCCTTCCCACGTGCCTCCCCGGACACAGCCGCCTCCCGTAGCCGAAAATAGTTTTGGGCAGATCGTCCCGCTCGAGCCATCTCTCTGGTCTGAAGTCGTCACTATCCGCGCCGAATACGTCCGTGTCTCGAGTGATCGCCCACTGAGAGGCGACCACAGTCGCTCCTTTGGGGATTCGGTATCCCATGTACTCGTCCTCTTCCGCCGTGGCGTGGTTCATCCCGGCAGGGAAGATGGGCCGCCATCGCATCACCTCTTCAATCATGGCATCGATGTATGGGAGCTTCGCTCTGTCCGCGAACACGGGCAATCTCTCGCGGCCAACAACCTCATCCATAATAGCTTGAGCCTTGTGCATCATGTGCGGATAGGTGATCATGGCGATGACGGACCAGCAGAGAATCGACATGGTGGTCTCGCTGTTGGCCAGCGTCAGCGTCCCCGAGACCCAGGCCATCTCCGACTCGCTCATATCCGCGTTGAGGCGGCCCACGCCATGAACGATCTGCTTGCTGATGTTGTATCCGGAATGCTTCAGGGCCCTGCGGAAGTTTGCCATGTGGTGTACGGTTTCGCTCTCGTGGTACTTGTCGCCGACCCATTTCCACGGAGAGATGCAGTCCGGGACGTGCTTGAGCCAGTTGAAGATGTCGATCAAGTGGAGCTCCCTCAGAACCACCGCCGACGGAAAATTGCTGAAAAAATCCATCTCGTCCTCAATTCCGGGTTGCCCCTTTAGCAGACGGTAACCCCAAACGATCAAGCTCATGCTGCTCGCGGGTGCACGTCGAAAGTGCCAGTGGGGATTGTGGGGTACTATTTCGGCTGTCTGCTTCTCTCCGGTACCTTGGCCTGGCTTCGGCTTGCCTTCCGCAAGCATGTCGTTCAGAAGCTGGAGTGACTCCAGCTCTTGGATAGGATGATAGATCATCGCGGACCGAGTGTTGAGACCGGGCACGTGTAAGCGCTGGTGAAGGCGGAGCCGGGTGTCGTATTGACGAAAGAGCATATTGTATCCTTTGGCTACGAGCTCGGAGGCCATGTAGCTGAAGGATCGGTTCGAGTAGTTGCTGGCGCGCTTGTTGAGTAGCTCGTGGGCCGCTTCCACAGTGGTCAAGACGACTGTGGGCCGTCCTCCAACTTCGAAGTAGACTACCGGCCCGTAAACTTGCCTCCATTGGTAATGAGTCAGCCAACTGAGGTGAAACGGGCTATTGAAGAGATTTCCAACGATGGGGAGTCGTGGCGGACCTGGCGGGAGAGGCAGCTTTGAGTACCGGTGGCGAGCATGGCGAAGACGTGAGACGAGCAGATAAAGCCCAAAGGAGGCTACAAAACATAAGGGGAGTAGAATAGACAGTGGTGCAGAAAGCAAGCTGTCGCGGTATCCCGCAAGGCCCTCCATGGTTGATGGGGGTATCAATTGAGTTTGAGTAACGCGTGGGGTGTGTCCTTCTCGGTCACACAAGAGATGAAGAACAGACGCCATGTACGTTGTAGTGCCCTTCTATTCCACATATATGTTCGTCATCCTCATCTTGGCAAAATGGCGTGAGTAATAGACGCATGGTGGGACGCGTGGAATGTTCATCCGCGCAGGCCTTATGTCTCACCTTTATGTCGTGAAACGAATCTGGCCTGTCAATCATGGTACAAAAGCTTTCGGTGACAGCCACTCAATAGGCCGTAATTGGCCGTCCGATGTGCAGTGCATGTAGACATCCATTTCCATGAGAGGACTCGATTATCTAGTGCACCAATTGACATGCCTGATTGGTAGCCTAGAAGTGATATTCACATCGCCACGCTTGGCCCGCAGCGTAGCAGCGCAGGCTCGCCTAAAAGGAACATAAGATCTTGGACAACGTTCCCCTCTCAGATAACACCTGCCACTTTCTCCTCTTCCGACTAAACGATACATCCGCATCCGCCAGCTATTCATCGAGAGAAGTCAGCAGTCCATACATGGCTGTGCATGATGACAGTAGCTGCGGGAAGAGCCACGTCCCGCATCGGACTGGCATTCTGTTCCTTCTGGGGCATCTCCACACGTTTTTAAAAGGAAGGCCTCTACCTCTTACGGCAGCTGCTCCATCCTAGGTTGCATACAGCCCGCATATTGGAGACAAAAAGCATGGTTCAAACGACTACTATCAAGCAAGTAAGACAACCGTGGGTCACTCGTGTGTGGGTTCGTGTACAGTAGTCCGCTAACATGAGTAGGTTTAAATTGGCAGATGCATATAAGACTCGGTTGCGGGGCATCTGCTTACTCTGCCTTAGTTCAGTGCGGTGGAGAGAAACTGTAAATCCAGCGGGCAGTTGGGAATCAAGTGATTGAGTTACTGTAACGCCTCAGCTATCAATAACAATATCTTTGTTTCTGCATATCCTAGGGGGTACTCTTGCTTGGAGCCAATGATCGAATGGAAATTGTGAGAAGAGACGGAATGTGTGGCGAGTTCTAGACGTAATTACATAATTACTCAGACTTTACAAGTCTTCAAGGACTAGTTGCTTACGGGGGTGTAAGGTTGACTTCAAAGCTTTTTAAGAACCCGTTTCACGAGCCAAAAAAGAAAGCAAGGTCGCATCGGACCATTGCCAAGGCCCCAACCTTTATCATTGTATTTTCCTGATCTGTAGGTTCGTGGATTGTTTGTTCGACCGTTCGTGAGAACGGGCAGCTGGAAAGATTCAGAACATACTTTGGTCGACAGTTCTCAGTTGGAAAGCTAGATACACTCTGACCTCATGATTCGGCTTGAGAAAAGTGCATTTCGACAAAGTTTAACCTTGATGGATTCCGAGCAGTACATGATCGGTCACTCTGTCTCCGAGATGTCCGCCCACCTCTCCAAGGCGACAGTCTAAGTTCCTATGGCCTAAAAAAAGATATTGAAGTAACTATGCAACCGCTTTACGTTCTCTGGAATAGTCTTCGTCAATCTGTCTTGATCAGAACGCTCTTGGCAGGACACTATTAGGACGTGGCGACAGATGGAACATAAGCTTGAGCTCGGTCTTGTGATTGATCCCGAAAACAAGACGTATTAGAATTATTCCTTGAGGATCAGGACTTTGATCTTAAAGTTTGGGTCCTCATTTGACACTATTTCACTGAAGTCAATGACTAATGGTCAAGATGTGGTCTTCGTCTTTACACGCTGCCAATTACGAAGGGGACATGTGGTATTGGCAGAGGGTCAGTTTTTTATTCTGAGTTTGACTCGAAATTTTTCTGGCATATTGAACAGCGCCTCTGATCATGCATGCTTGTCTTGTGGGGAAAATAGTTGAAAGACTGGGCCTCCTGTGTTGCTAAACCACATTACAACTATCAGTCTCCGCAGAATCGAAACACCGAACCCCATCGAGAGATTTGCAGAAACAACTGTAGCATATGGAGACCTTCATATCATAGTCGTCCGATGTTATAATCGTTGCTGTTGTCAATGTCCTACCTACATGGGGCTTCTGAAGTCCCCCGACCCGATATCAGATTAGCCCGCAACGAATCATCGCGCCTCGCGTCAACCACACCGACGTGGGAGAAACACACGTCAGCAAGTCCGGGACACTCCATCAGCGACTGGCACGTTCGTCCAGTCCCGATCGAGCTATCTTCCCGGGACCCGAGGATAGTCGTATCATGGGCTCTTGGCGAGGCCCCAGGCCGCCGCAGTCACGACTGGAGCCTCCGACCAGCGATCACGGCGACATTCGTGACCCAACACAAGACGCGATGTGTTGACGCGGCAGTTGCCAAAAAAGCCGGCTACAATGTCCGCCATTCTTTGTGGCCGAGACGAATGAGAAAAAGTCAAAAGTGGAAACTTGTCTGGCCCCCGTTGCGGTAGCGGCGTTTAGCACCGACTATCGTTCGCTAGCTCCCGCGAACGCCACCTCTATGCAGCAAAGATTGTCGAGCTTCCCTGCTCCCATGACTGGTCGATTCCACTTCTAGTCTATACCTTGCTCGTGCCGGCCATTAGCATCGGTATTCGACGGGCGCGAATGTTTCCGGCGGCTGCCAACGTTGTGCGGGTCGACGCAAGTCAGGTGTTCGCAGTAGCACAAGTTGACCATGGGTTGACAATGATAAGTGCGAAGTAGCATCTTTCACCAAAGACACAGAGATTGGGGTTGGAGACGGAGACATTGAGACAAAATCAAACTTCGTTACTGAACTAAGCCTCAAACACGAAACACCGTGACACTGTTTCTACTAAGTATTGCCGATTCCGTTTGAACTCCGTCCCAAAATATAGTGTACACCAATTTTACCTCCCCAAGTTGATATTCTAGCTCGCAATGCCAAAGAAATTTCAATTTCAATCATGTTGCCGTTTTAAACTGAAGCGTAGCGAAGTGCCACCGCATTTGTGACGCAAGACGACTGGTTCTCTTAGTCGCCGTCCCAAACATTCCTCAGTGACGAGGGCTCAAGACGACCGGAGCTGGCGCGTGTTCGGCCTCGATGGCCCTCACCGGTGGTGCCGTACCGCGGGCTGAGGTCGCGGTAGGACACTGGCACGTCCGACTCATCACCGCTATCGTTTGCGGCGGTGTTGGCGACGGCGGCTGCTGCAGAAGCGACGAGGAGAGGTCGGGTGCGCTCGCGCTCCTCGATGGGACGTTCAGACAGATGGCTCCAGCCCTGCGCCCACCACGCGTGTCTCCAGTTGCTGGCGCTCTGCGTGAAGAGCAGAGTGAGGACCTGGATTATGTACGGTCAGCTTTGGGGCTTTTGTTAGTGCCAAATATGTCGACGAAAACGGACCTGCAAAAGACCGACAGCCAGGACGATGCCCAGGTCGATGGACGAGTTCGTAACGGTCGCTTGCCGCCACGGACCAAGGCATGCCGTGTCGCGGCTGAACATCTCGGCGCATTGTACGTTGCCGGTGAATGGCCAGGCACGATCCTTGACGCTGTTTAGTCCACAGCAGTCGAGCTGGTCCTGGATACGTCGGATAGAGGACTCATCCTTGCTGGCAAACATGCGCTGCCAGCTGGTGGATAGACCGCAGTTCTGGCCATCGCCGGGGAGGGCGGACTGCAGAAAGAGAACGGCGAGGGCGGTGGTCAGAATGCCCTGCAGACTCTGAATAATGGTTGGGAAGAGCTGTTCAGCACGGGCTGAGGATTGGCTGGCGTTGAAGAGCAGGCGTGGGTAGTAGAAGGCGTTGATAGTGCCGAGAATAGGCAGCAGGATAGGAAGAAGAGACATGAAGGGAGAGATGGGGAGGACAAGGTTGGTGCTCGAGACGTGGACGATGCTGCGAGAAATGGTTAGTCTGGATGAGGGTTTTGGTGATGCTTGGCATGGCAACTCACATGGCCGTCGTCAGGAGCCCAATGCTGATCTACAACATTACCAATGTTAGACACATCGTAGCGATTTTTTTATTTTCTTTTTGGGCGTCGAGCGATGTCTCCAATAAGACTACTTACCAAGAGGAACACAATGCCCGGATTGACCATCGTGGTGTTATTTCCCACAGTTAGACACGCGGCATCCAGTCGCGGGGGGGTTGATGTTGATGGAACGTCGAGCGAGAGATATCAATAGGGGGGAAGAAACAGTGGTGAGCGTCCGGCCGCACGTGTAAATAGTGTGATGTGGGAGGTGGTGGACGCGCGACATGGACGGGGGTCGAAGACGAGAGAGACGGGAAGAGAAGGGTGTGGCGCTGGCCGTCGCCCCCTTCTTTCCCCCCCCCCCCCAAAGCTCCCCCAAGTGTGCCTTCTCCAAGGGCCGATCGCGGTGCTAGAGCGGAAAGCTGCTGGGGGCAAACAAATCGGGCACCGTTTCTGGAGCACCCCAAGGTCCCCAAGCCGCCCCAAGCTGCTTCCCAAGCGCCATCAACCACCGCGCGCCAGCAGCACCGGGCAATCACAGACCCTGCCAACAGCAAGTTGCCGCAGGTTTCGACGTCATGGCCAAGGTCTCCCGAGAAGCTTATTCCCTCAAACCCAAGCACGCCATAGGTCGAGAGGGCCTCTCGGAGCAGCACGCCGGGAGACCCTTAGGCAACCCCGGCACCCTGGCGACTTCCTGAGAGCACGCACTATTGCCGGCAGGCCGTGAGCAGGTTGCCAGGTTGTCAGGTCGGGGCAATCAACACCATCCATCAATGGGGATGATGCTGGACCCCGCATGCTGTGTGTTGTGCAACCCTCGACCTGCGACCAGCGTCACACGAGGGCGCAGTCGCCAGACCCTTGGTTTCACGTCGATCCAATGCGAATTTGCGCGGCCAGCTGCGTCCATCCAGAGGTTGGACGCCGCATTGGGCGGTGCGTCGTGGCCGGTGTCTGCGGCGACATTTCTGGCGGTGTGCTTTCCGGACGGATTCGGTTGAAAGCAGCACACTGGTGACAGACAGGCACAAATGCCGACAGGGTCCTCTGCACTTGTCTGCCTTTGAGCATAAGGAGGGTAAGCTGATGACGATGACGCCAGCGGCTATCGGGACGCGCCCAAATCCCGACATCGAGATGCTGCTACCTACCTACTATTAAGCACGACCTTTCTGTCTGTAGGTGTTTGTGCTCCGCGCATCAGCCAACCCTGCCTCGTTGTCCATCCGTCGGGTCTAGACCCCTTGCCATCCATCCACAACCAGTGAGCATGTGCATGTTGCCTGGTCCGAACATACCTAGTTCTTGGTCTGCACATGCCGCGAATGAGATGTCGTTCCATCCTTCCAAGATGCATATCGTGCTCGCCAATGAGACTAGGGGCCCGTTTCGTTTGCGGGCGCAAGTTTCCGCCAGGCGAAAAAGAAAAAGAACCATCACAAATGCCCTCGCCCCTGGGCAACCGACCTTTCTTTGGCTCCTCGTGACATTTAGCGCACCGATGCACCGGAGCTTGATGCTTGAAACTGAGATGCTTGGCGGTTGGTCGGAATCGAAAAGTCGAGAAATCAGAGTTGGGCAATGGCGCACTGTCCGCTGCGGCCCACCAACATTTGTCCAGACAAGGATCGAATGCATCAACAGGTAGTGGTGTCGATGGTTTGCGAGTTTCGATCACCATTTGGTGATTTGCTTGGGGCGGGCTTGATAATCCGGTCGAATGACCACGAAGAGGCACAAAGGCAGGCCTGACCCTGTTTGTGTGGCAAGGTAAAGCTGGTTGGGGAGGTCCCTAGGCGCTTGGCCGCTGTGCATTCAATCAGGGTGCCTGAATCTGGAGAGATGAAGCGACAGTTCTGAGGTCAAAGAGGTTACAAGTCATCATCAGCCGGCCCCCGGATGAGACAAGTCTAAAGCATCAGGATGGCGTCGTCGAGGCCTCGACAGCAGACACTTGGGTAGTAGTGAAAGCCGAGGACCTGGGGGGGCGGGAGGCACAGCTGCACCTTGCGGAGTGACAGGACCCACAAGGCTGAGAGAGACACCCCGGGTGCCGTTCCGTTCCAAGATGCCCAGCCGGTTACAGAGTCGCCGAAGTGGAGATGCGGTTTGCACGAGTGACCGCTTAGGGATCAGAGACCAGAAAGCTGACGACGCTGCCAATGGCGTTGTGGGGGTTCAGCCTCAGCATCCACGGTCTCGAGAGCTGCAGGAGCTGTTTGGGTCTGGTGAGCTACGCTATATGGTGACGAGGCCGTGGCTTGGGTCCATCGCTGTGTTGCTTCAGACGGTCCAGGTGATCGGCGACTGATTGCTGAAGAAGTTCTGGAGTCCATTGCGTAGCAGTTTCGGACCAAAGGAGTCCAAAGCATCATTGTAATCTGTCGTGCCCAGGGCCTGGTAGGAAACAACACTGGTGGTTCTTCCGCTGTGACTTCATGGTCTTGGAAGTATGGGCGTTGGTATCCACGTGTGCGGCTACAAGGCATCTGGTTGCATTCTGAACCCAAGACTTAACATCGGATACACGGCTCCATTCAATATCGGTGTGTTCCTGGGCGGAGTTGAGATGAGCTGAACATTCGGACTGCGCAAGGGAAGGATGGCGCGGGGAACTGCCTGGAGAGATGCATCCCGATTCGTCGTCTTATGTAAGACTGCTGTCCCGCCGAAAAGGGCTGGCAAACGTGAACCTAATTGGCCAAAGCTCGCCCAGCTCTTGGCTTATCTAATCTCGTGTCTCCACAATTCGACCCCTCCATTGCAGATACCTTACAGCACCTGCGCAATGGCGCGCAGCAGGATGAAGAGCTCACTGGATTGGGACGGAAGGAGGGGCACCACAGCGGCTGCGACCTTACGCGGCGCGCGCATCAGCCAAGATTGACGTCGTCCGTTTTCCCCCAGCGCCGTCTTCCTCTCTGTTTCTGCCTCGCTTCTCTGGCTAGTGTCGCTCCCTTCGAAGAATTCTTGTTTGCGCCCGTCTCACTTCTGCATCTGACACCCCCATTTGTTCCTAGACCTGCACCGCAAAACCGGCCGGAAAAGGTGAGACGATAGACACGAAAGCTACAACATCGCATCGCGACCCCTGGAATACATCGGCGCAAAGATGGCTTCGCTCACATCCAAGTTCGCCAATTTGAACCCCTTCTCCAAGTCGGCCCCCGAGGACGAGGAGGAGCTCGGCGACACCACCGACAACACCACCCTCGCCGGCGGTGGTCACGCCGCCCGCGACTCGGAACTCAAGCACCGCCTCCGCGTGAGCCGTGCTCTCCGATCTTTCCTTGTTGACCAAGAGGTCCTCTCGTCAAAAGACGCAAACGTTGACTCGGACCAACCCAGCCCGGCGCTGCTGGCCCTTGTTGACAAGCCTCACATCAGCGTGCCGCGCGAGCTTACTGATAGATCTCATCCCCTCCCCGAGTACTTCATCAGCTCCAGTCACAACACCTACCTCATGGCCCACCAGCTCTTTGGGAGCTCTTCGGCAGAGGCCTACGAGGAGACTTTGCGTGCTGGTGCGCGCTGTGTCGAGATTGACGCTTGGGACAATCCTGACAACAAGGAGGAGCCCAAGGTCACCCACGGCTACACTCTGGTCTCCAATATCCCCTTCCGCACAGTATGTGAGACCATCCGCGATGTCGTCGACGAAGAGGCCAAGGCACCCGAGCCGGCCGCACCGATTCTGCTATCTCTGGAGAATCATTGCAACCCCGAAGGCCAGCTGCGCCTTGTCCAGATCATGAGGGAGGTCTTCGAACACCGTCTTTTAAGCCAAGCCGTGCGAGAGAAGGGTCACGCTGAGCAGCACGGTCAGGGTGACCATGTCCGTCTGGAAGAGCTGGGCAACAAGATTGTCGTCATCGTCGAGTACCATTTCCCCGGCGAGCCCGACGACAGCAGCTCGAGCTCAAGCGACGATGACGAAGAGGAGAAGAAAGCCCGCCATGACTACAATGCCAAGAAGAAGGAAGCCCCACCTTCCCTCATCATTCCGGAACTCGAAGAGCTTGGTGTATACGCCCAGTCCGTCAAACCTGTCAACAACTCGTGGTACGAGGAGGTCCTGCAAGAGGCGCCGCACCACCACCTGATCAACGTTTCCGAGTCTGGTCTGGCCTCCCACCTGCCGCAAGCCACCGAAAAGATCTCCCGGCACAACGCTCATCACCTCATGAGGGTTTTCCCCAAGGGCACACGCATCTCGTCCAACAACCTGCATCCCGTCCCTTTCTGGGGTGTCGGTGCCCAGATTTGCGCCCTCAACTGGCAGACTTTTGGTGCTTCAATGCAGATTAACGAGGCCCTTTTCAGTGGCTCCGAAGGTTTCATCCTTAAGCCTGCCGAACTCCGACGAGGCGGATCAGGCAAGCTCGGCAACGGTAGGAAGAAGAAGCTCAGGCTGCATGTCGGTGGTGCAACGGACGTGCCCATACCCTCCGGCCGCGACGACGACGAGACAATCAAGCCTTACCTCACATGTACGCTTGTTCATCCCCACGACCTGGAGATGAAGCCTCCCAAGAAGAAGACGGCGGGGTACAAGCAACACAAGCTCACAGGCTTCTTACACAAGGGAGAGAACCCCCCACCCACGGACCCGCTATGGAACGAGGTTTTGGAATGGGAATATCAGGACAACGAGCTGGTCTTCCTACGCATGCTCATCAAGAGCGACGACAGCTTCACGAGGAACCCAATCCTGGCTGTTGGAGCGGTGCGGCTGCTATACACCGTTCCTGGTTGGGTCTTCATCCGGATGCTGGATCTAAAGGGAAGAGAGACTAAGTGTTCCATCCTTGTTAAGTTTGAATTCGTGGACGTCTGATGGCGAACACTGGCGAGGCGTTTGCTGATTACAATGGCTATTTCTTCTGGCAGCCCATGCCTCAATCGCTATGCTTTGCCCCAAAGCGCATCCTGTGATTACCTTGTCTATGAATTTCCTCTGAACATGCATGTGTACATAACGTCTATCATGCTTTCCTCCACGAGCCCTGCAATTGCGTAATATAGAGCTGCACTCGTCTGCCCGGTTCATCTCAGATCCTGTTCCCCCTGCCAGCCATGGCGCAGGCAACCACACCGGAGGCGAGGAGGTTTACGAGAGGTTGGTGTACGACTACGGGTTCGTGGGCAGAAAAGCCGCTTTGGAGGCAGAGAAGAAGCCTGCTGAAGGCGAGAGACATGGATGAGGTTCGATATATCATTATGTTGACCAAGGGATTGTCTTTTGTTCTGCTCGATGTGATACTGACATTGCCACAGGAGAATGTAGAAGCGAGCGCGACTACTATAGTCACCCATTTGTGCCCATCCGGGCTTCCGGGAAAGTCGGGATGTGAGCTGCCTTGAGCAGAAGACCGTCATTGCCGATGTCAATATCGTTCGCAGTGTTGGAAGCATCAAGAGTGCAAGCATGCAGAGCGCAGCCACCTATGAAGGCTAAAAGAAGGCTTATCCTACAGTGTCGTCGGCAGAAGTCCCAGAAATGCGAAGAAATAATCCTAGAAATATGTAATGGCGATAAGCCAGCGTGGGTCATCGTAGTATAGTTCATGCATACAGAATCCAAGTCATAGTGGTAATTGTGCTTATGCTTATTATAGTAAGCGTAATCAAACACCCTATGATTACCTGCGTTAACCGAGGAAAATTCAGGGGTTTCACTCATTTTTTACCACTCTCTCTAGCTTTTACAGCAATCCCTATTCCCAAAACATTCCCACAGATGTTGCGCCATACCTGAGCGAGTGAACCCGAAAAGAGAAAGGACCGGGTGGCCTGAATTTGACCCACTGCCTTTTGCAGTTGGCACCATTCTACAAATAATCTCTCATTCACGTTTTCACACATGCTGCGATCCTCCACAAGATGTCCGATGCACCTGAAGGCATTGTCGAATACGCCTATGACCACATCTCGGAATGGTATCTTCAATGGGTAGACAACCAGAAATCACCGCGAGAGAGGTATGCCAAGAAGATGCTTAAGGAGCTACAACCTTCGCCTTCGATTCTAGAGCTTGGCTGTGGCCCCGGCGTTCCCGTCCTAAGACTGCTTCTCGACGACGGAGCAAAGGTAGTCGCCAACGACATCTCGACTAAGCAAATCGAAATAGCAAAGGCCCGCTTCCCGGGTGCTACGCTGGTTGCGGGCGACATGACAGCCCTCACCTTTGAGCCTGAGAGCTTTGATGGAGCAGTCAGCTTTTACACGCTGTTCCACCTTCCACGGTCGAAGCTCAAGACTATGCTCACCAAGATCCATGGTTGGCTGAAGCCTGGAGGAGTCTTTGTTTTCAATCTCACAACCATCGACGAGGAAGAAATCCATGGCGAATTTTTGGGATATGGAATGTTCTGGAGTAGCTATGACCTGGACGGGAATCAGGCACTGCTTAGAGAAACCGGGTTCGACTTATTGCAGGTGGAAGTATTGCAGGCAGGCGATGGGAAACTGGGAGAGGATGATCCAGACTATGACGCCGAGTTTATGTGGGTGGTGGCACGGAAGAGAGATTCTCCTGTCGGGCAGAATACCGTAACTATGATGAAGTCGGGGGGATGAGAGGTGGCCGAGAAGAGAAGGCAAGGCAATGCTGGCAATGGGAAGGTGATGCCTTTGTATTTTTTGCAGACGCCTACACAAACCATCCGCTGACATCTCAGTACTAGGCAAGGATACAATATACCAACAGAAGCCACTCCTGTGTTGGGCCTCGCAAGTGCCGTAGCATGGTGATGATCGAGCACAGCAGTAGGTATAAGAAGGGGCCCCTGGCCGTACTTCCGGGGTCACAGGTGGAGATTCTGTAGAAGAAGGGATATATATATGTTACCGGAGACTGATGACCATTTCTCCGCTATGAAAGTAAGTAGTTGCTTAGCTGCTTATTGCTTGTTTGCTTACGTGCTGAGGTGAGGTCAGCGTAAGCAAAACAAATCAACCCCATCCACGAAGCCCTGACCCAATCGGACTAACAAACTATACATAAGCATATCTTTCTCACTCAGACATGAAACGGTCAGCCCATTCTACTCCCAGGGAGCGCTGGTCAACGTCTTCTCTATTCCAGGCCAGAATCGAAATGACACAATCACGGGTTAAAGACTGAGAGAGAGCATACCCGAGGCTTTCTTGGCACTCCCTCTCATGGGGCTCTCATCTTCATGCTGTGATAGTCGTTACTTTCCAAAACCTCCGCCTTGTTGCGTTTGCCCAGAGAGATTCCCTAGGAAACGGATCACCACGCGGACCTAAAATATCCTCGCCCTTTGACAGGAAGCTTCAATTGATCAAGGCGAAGAGCACACTAACAGTCCCTCCACCAGCTATAGGTTGGAGACATAACCGACCGGTGAGGCACAAAACATTTGCGCTGATCCGAGCATCAATGGAAGCAGACAAGAAGTCTGGCAACAAGAAGATCATACAGCAGCCAGCCCATGGAGACGGTCGCTTCCAGTCCCTGAAGCCAATACGGCCCATCGGGTCATCGCGGCCTTGACTTGACAGAGAGCAGCAGCTTCTACATTACGAAAAATTACGAAAAATTACGAAAAAGATGCACGCCACACGGAGTAGAGCTATAGATGAAAAACCCGCACCACTCTGAAGCACAAAACTCACGTCTTGTCCATGCACGCGTAGCTTCACCCGAAAGACCAACATCATCTTCTTCGTTTTCCAAGAGAATCGCACCCAACGCCTCGAGGCTTGATAGAAATCCAGTCGGCGAATCAACTCGGCACGCTAGTACCATGCTTTGCATTCTACACTGCGGTGTTGCCACCAACAGCTGCTTTTATGCAGCCACTACCCACCGCTCGCCATTATCCTGGTTGGTGCTTCAACGTCAGCTCCAGCTTCCAGCAGGAATTCAACAGCCGCGTCTAGACCTAAGCTAATAGCAATGTGCAACGGTGTCTTCCCTTCAGCATCGTACGCATTGATAATTTCGACACTTTGCTCGCAGTGCTTGATAAGCACCTTCAAGAGACGATCCTCGCGTTTAAGTACGGCCCAGTGCAGCGGAGATCGTTGGTAATTATTGTCCACGATTTGAACTTGAGCACCATGTGACAGCAGCATATCCACTATTTCTTCTTGTTCCTTTATAACGGCATGGACCAGAGGCGTTAGGCCTTGGCCATCTTTGGCGTTGCAATCGGCCCCATGCTTCAGGAGCAGTTGGACAATCTTCCTGGAGCCTTGTGACACGGCCATATGAAGGGGGCTCTTGGACTCGATACAGCTGCCATTTGACTCAACAGGCGTGTGTCTAGGGGAAGCCATGGAATTTTCACACTCGTAGTAGTCGACAACGTTTTCATTTAATCCCAGTACTGCTGTTCCAAGAGCGGATCGTATGTCTGGTAGGCTGAGGTCTTCTAAACCGCCAAAGTTTATTGTGTCTTCCGCGGAGAACGGGTTCGGGCCTTGCGAAATCGAGAGATTGGTATCTGCACTGGCCGCTGTCCCTGCGGAGCCGGACAAGCTCGGGGAAACTGGCGCTTCACCACGGATTCGACTGCTATGTGGCGATTGGTCGGTGGCAGGAGACTGGCGGTCCATTTCTCTCATGCGATGTCGCTCTGTGGTCTCGTCTTCATCAGTCAATGTGTGGCAGGCCAGTGGCATTCCGAATCAACAGCTCACCTCGAAACTTACGCTGGGCGATCCGGTTCTGCTCCCGCCGGCGTTCGGTAAGTGAGCTGCCCTTAGTTCGATGAGACATGGTGTACTGTGAAGACGAAGCCACTAAGCCGGCCAAGCCGGGCACGAGCATTGAAAGAACTTGACGCGTGGGGATTCACAACGGGCTATCAGGGCATTATGAGCGAGTGTCCCATTGGACATGGGTTGGGTGATATCCTGCCTGATTCCGTCAGGACTTGCTATGCACAGTACTATCTATGCATCTTGTTCGTTAGTAACATGCAAGTTAGAACGATGTTACATTGTGTCCATCCGGAAGCCTTACCGGATTACCCATATTTCCATACCCTGCTGTCGCCCCCCTGTGGTAGTCCTGGCGTAACCCTTTCTGAAGGCGATCTCCGTACGGAATCCATATCTTCAATCCAAGCCGGGAAGGTCGCCCGAAGGATTTCAATGTTACCAACGCGAGAATTTTTGGTAGTCTAGAGAACGGTTCTGTTCCTGAACCAGTACCTGCAAGCTGCGTACGAGTGGATAGTGAGCGAGTAAGCGTGCTAATCCAAGTTTTCGTGCGAATCCATAGGTGAAAATCTTGCATTTAGATTCCCGAACATCCGAGAGTAAATGAGACAATGTTCGCTAGAAGATGCAAGGATGGTACAGGCTATTATTGGCCATCCGCGTATTCCTCATTGTCTAACGACCGACTTTTTGCAACATGATTATAAAATCATTCTTTCACTGAAAAATATCGCCGCAATCCCTCACCGCCAGCTGAACTGACTTCAAATCCTAATTAATACATTGGTGTGGCAGCATTTTGGACTCCGTGGCGATAACGGCTGAGTAGCTGGTAGTTATATAAGAGTTTTCTTGTTACTGCACAGTCCTCCAGGCGGTCAAAAGACACAACAGGGGAAATAGACTGTAGCTGTAACGGGCGAATGCTGTAGGAGCGCTGCATAGGAACGCTTTAAGAGGGTATACAACAACAAGAGTAATAACTGAAGACAATTCGTGGTCTTATAGGTGTGCGGTGACCAGTTGTATACTTCAAGGCGTAGATAGCTTGTGTAGCTTCACAGCTCAAAGATAGCCAAGAGTCACGTGATGGAATGTGAATCGCGAGGTTGATTGCTGAAGAACCCATGAAAGCCCGTTCTTGTAAACGTCTAAGTTCATCATATATCCAGGTCTCTTGATTATCTTGATGACTGTTTCTTGCTGTTATTGATTATGCCTACTGTCTTGCTAGGGTGATCACCTACCTGCAGGTTACCATCGTTCTGATTCGCTGTTGGTTATATGATCTATCTATAGTTCATTCGTTCCGCTCTTCCTGTTGCCTTTGGGCTTATCGGGCTATTGGTCACTGTTCCCTCTGCCCTATAGGTCTCTATGGGTCAAGGATTTTTTTACCCTAGTCCGGATAATGTAACGGACTTCCTCCAACCTCGAGCTGTACAACTGGATCGTCTTAAAAATGATTTTGTTACCTTTACTACATAAGAATAGCTTATGTTTGTCTATCTCATGATTAGCACATTCAAGTACGTTGTCAAACATATGCTACAGCAATCCGCCATGGTGAGCTATGTCGGTTGAGGGCAAGTACGCAGCGAAAATCCCAATTCTTTGTTAGGTTCATCGAATTCCCAGGGAAAATCTCAAAAAGTCGCCATAGCAAGGATACGACCTTGTTGCAAATACTTAACACGGCATCATATTAAGTGCATCGACAACTATTCTTCGTGATTTTCCCACTCCACGTTCCGCGGCATAAACCGAAGACCCGCGAATTCCGCCTGAACCCACCAAATAAACACCTACTTGAAAAGTAGCAAATTTTTGAATCATGCCAGCGACTTTGCGATTAGTGCTAAGCTTCTGTCATGACTAAACTACCCGCTGTCGGCTTACGGAAGTCCGAGATTCTGGGCCAGAGGATGATGTGAAGGACCGCCGGGGGCACCCTTGGATGCCAGACTGTGTTCGACAGCGTAGTCGTTCCAGGTTCATCGCTCCTACAACTTTATTCTCAAGTATCCGAAATTTAGATGTAACAGGCTGACCTCACTTTCGCCTCTTTTATCCCAAGACAATACTCTGCTTTCTGAGATCCGGCACTTTCGGAAGAGGATACATGATAAAAGGGATGATCACGCGCCATTTCTTTGGTGATAAACACTAAGCCGCATTTCCCCGGAGTTGACACGAAGGGATTTTTTATTTTATTTTTTTAGTTTTGAGGGGGGGTTCTCGCCCTTTCCCGGTAAAATATTGCGTTCAACCTTTATGCTCATGCTAGTCATTTACTGCGTCGTATCTTCTGAACGGACCAGGCGGAGGCCTCCAAGTTCATCAGCTTGAGTCTGAACTCATTACCAGTCATCCTGAAGGCGGTTACCAGATACGGGAGAGGCTCTTCTAGACATGAAGTCACGCAAGGGCCATCGCACGCCTGGAAGGAGCTGAAGGAGCGGGCACACACATACAGTTTTGAAACGTTCAGACGACTCGTCAGATGCGCTCATGATACTTACCCAGACCACCTGTGTTTCTGTGCATGTAGTGAATTTCGAGCAATCCAAGGGCGAACTGGCCTCTTTACTTGAAGTTCGCTCTCCGAGAAACCCCAGTTCCCGTTTTGCTATGAAGCCGTAATCAGTCTGTTCGTCGAAATGCAAAGTCTCTAATCCCATCACAGTAATGAAGAATGGGTCCCAGACGTGGTAGTAATGTGGAGAATGATCAATCATCATTCAATTTGCTTTGTAATTCTTTTTGATGCTAATGCTGCCATCAGAAATTTACTCCCGCATCTTGCTTTCTAAACGTCCTCGTAACCCTGGGGTCCCACTTCATCTTGTTCTGTCTCTCTAACTCCTGCTGCCTCTCTACCTCCAACTCATCAATTTGCGCAAAATTCCTTCTGTGGAACGGCCACTTGTTCTTGCGGTAGAGTAAGCCAAGGATAAGGCCGAAGATCAGCACGCCGCCCACAGAGCCCAACGCAATAGGCAGCGCGGGCATCAACTTCACGCCGTTGCCGCTGCTCGACGTTTCCGCTTGGCTTGGCTCGGCGATGCCGCTGGGGAAGGGCGTGGCTGTTGGTGTGGGAGTTGTCGTTGGGAGCAGACTGCTTTCCGGTACTACCAAGGATGGTGGCGGTTGAATGAAAGACGGCGTTGGTGAGGGCGTTAACACGGCTGGCGTAGAGACTGGTGGCGCGGACGGTAACGAAGTTGGCGACGGCAATGGTAGCGGGTCGGATAGCGACGGAGTTGGTGTTGACGACTCACTAGTGACGGTTGAGATGATGAACGTGGTAAGGGGTCGGGCGGAGCTTGAGGGCACAAGTGATAGTGACGGTGTCTTTATCTGTGAGGGCTTCTGTGATGATGACGGTGTGTTTTTTCTTGCAGGTGCAGATGACGATGCAACGGCTGCTGCTGTTGATGTTGTCGATGTGGATGATGTTGCTGGTGGTGGTGCTGGTGGTGATGATGATATTGGTGATGAACCGGTTGGTGTCACTTGTGCCGAAGGTGTCGACTGTACTCCTGTCGCTCGGCTCAGTGTATTTGGTGTCCCTGTTCCCACTCCCGTTTGCCCACCCAGAACAGGTCCTAAAAGAGGTGCGTCGCTTGCGACGTCGAGGCCAAGAGAGACTCCGACCCCAGGTAGAAGGCCGGCCATGATGTGACAAGTGTCCTAGTGGAAGAGGAGGGTCGCTTTGCGGAAATCGTATGTGGTAGTATGTGCAGCTGTCAATTTGTTGTAGCGTCGTAAAAAGGGGTATCTCAGTTGAATGTTCGTTGTTAGTGAAGCAGGGTTAGAAACGTCGCCGGGACTATCTTGGTGGCCTGTCGATGCAGATCGGAGTTGAGTGCCAGCGCCGAGGTGGATGAAGCGACGAGTGTCACTCGCGGACCTTGGATATGGCGGATAGAGGTGGTCGGGTTTTCGATGTAAGTCGTTCCAGCGGCTTAACAGTCGCCTCTATTGTTCCGCCAAGCTAGAGAAGCTCTCAACGTCAGGTCCGGTTCAAACAATACAAATTAAACAAGCAATAAACATCACACAATGTCAGTCCCAAAATAAAAGTCACGATTTGCCTGTCCCAGAAAAAGAGGGCTGGACACACCTTTAAACAATGTGTGGTCACGTCCCCCTCCCTCTCCAGGGCTTCCCGTCCTCGGGCATTTCCCTCTGGTGCATGCGTACCCGCTCCCTCCCTCTCTCTCTCTCTCTCTCTCGCATTCCCTCGGCCTCTCAAGACTTCTTACCCCCATCATCCGACAAACCTTGCTGGGAGAGTTTTGGCTGACGTGACACAGAGACACCACCACCAACAACAGTGAGAGAGACACACAGAAAGAGGGACAAGAGGGATCCCAAGGATCTACAGGGGTCGTGGCCGTCTCACACTTGTATTGATCCCTGCACGCCAGTCGGAGGCTCAAGCGCGGCTCCGCTGCACTCGCCGAGGCACAACACCAAATTGGGCTAGAGTATGTGGCCTTCGGTAGTGTTGGTCCCCCCGCAGGGTTATTGCCAACCCATTTCAGACGTGGAACGTTTGGGTTGATATTCTTCAGACCAATGAAACCATCCACTTCTACATCGTCCCACCTTTCTCCCGCCCTTTTGGTCAAACCCATCCCCGGGTTCATCCCTCAACTCCCATTGTTCCCGATCAGTCTGCTTGGCATAGGGAAGCCTATGGTGCTCTACTATGTACTTTGGCTCTTAAAAACAAATAAACTTACTTACGTCGCATGCAAGCCTCGCTAGCCTAGTGATCGAATGAGGTAATCGTATAACGACGCTGCATTCCCAAAGCTGCATTCCCAAAGAGCAGCGAAGACTGCAAATGGAACTCTTCAAAGAGCCTATATCCTTCAAATCCCTGGCCTCCGCGTCCTACCTGATGCTGGAATACCCACGTTTACGGCATCACCTGTCAAAGTCGCCCCAACCTGGTTCCAGGAACTTGCATGATCCCCGCGTCGAAACCCTCGCCAGTCCCGGCGATCGAACTCCTCGGGGTTTCTGGCAGAACAGGCCACAGTT